GGGGGGGGGTGTCACTTCCGTCTCCCCGAGGTGCTGGAGCGGCGGTCGCCCTCCCGCCGGGGGAGGCCCTCGTCAGTGGAGGAGGTGGTGAGAAGAGCTTGGCTCCACCGCGCCACCTCGGCGTGCTCCTGGGCGCAGGCGGCCAGCGCCCTCAGCCACCCCCGCATGTCTTCCTGAGGGAGGGACACCCCAAAACCACCACCAGGCCCCCCCCCCAAAATCTCCACGACCACCCCCAACCCCCCCTGTAGACCCCCACCTCATCCTTGGCTTGCAGGAGGAACTCGCTCCCGTCGCTGGTCCTACAAGAGAAGAACCTACTCAACGACACCCACCCAACAACGTCACCCAACCAACCCCAGGAATTTGGGGGGACCCCCCAACCCAACCCCAGGAATTTGGGGGACCCCCCCCCCCCAACCCACGAGCACCCCGACGTACTTGAGCTTGAAGACGTTCTTCTTTTTCTTGTAGTCGTTGGCCACCTCGCTGGTGGAGTGGTGGAGGTTGAGGAGGGGTTCACCACCGTGAGTGCTGCCCGTCGCTTGACCCTTGGCATCCTTGTAGAAGCCCAGGTCACCCTTGCTCAGGACGCAGTAGAGGTTCACCCAAGATCTGGTCAAGGTGGGGGACACGGTGGAGGGGTGGGATGGGTGGGGTGGTGGCATCAGCAGGTGACCCAACACTGCTGGTGGGTTTGGGTGGTGGGGATCACCCAAGCTCGGGGGCACCCACTGCATGGATGGACCTCCAAACCCTGGTGAACCCTCTCCATTGATGGACACCCCAAACCCTTGTGAACCTTCACCATCGATGGACACCCCAAGCCCTGGTGAACCCTCTCCATTGATGGACACCCCAAACCCTTGTGAACCTTCACCATCGATGGACACCCCAAGCCCTGGTGAACCCTCTCCATTGATGGACACCCCAAACCCTGCTGCATGATGTCAGCTGAATGACCCTCCAAGTCATGGTGAACCCTCTCCATGATGGATCCCCAAAAGCTGGTGCAACCTCTGTCCTGAGAGACCCCCCAAATCCTGGTGTATGTTGTCCCTTGATTGATCCTGGTGAACCTTCACTATTGACGGACCCCCCCCAACCTCTGGTGCACCCCCTTCCCTTGCAGACCGCCACCCCACCTCCCCCCCCCCCATTGTCCCACACCAACCTGTTGGATGCCTTCTTGTTGGGTCCATCAAGCTCGTGCTTGCGGAAGAGGAAGCCCTCGTGCTGCACCGTGTGGGTGGGGGGTGGCGGGGGCGGCGGGGCGCTGCCCTGTGCCGGGGCTGACCGCGACCTCCGCGTCTCCCCCGGACCCTGAGCAGGGTCTTTGGGTCGTGGACGTCGGCGGGGTTTGGGGCGGTCGCGGGCGCGGGGTCGGTCGGGTCGCGGCATTCTCTCCGGCAATGCCTCTGGGCCGGTGGGCAGGCGGGCGGGGGACTCCCGCTCCCGGGGCTGGAGGGGGGGGTGATGGGCATTGGGACGTGGCTCCCGGTGGCCCCCCGAGGTGGGGATGCCAAGGGGACGTTGAGGGGATGTGAAGGAGATGCCAAGGGGACACCAAGGAGAAGCCAAGGGGACACTGAGGGGACATGAAGGAGATGCCAGGAGGACACCAAGGAGACACCAATATGACGCCAAGGCAATATCAAGGGGACACCAAGGGTATTCTTAAGAGGACACCAAGGGGATGTTGAAGGGATGCCAAGGGGACACCAATGCGATGCCAAGGGGATGCCAAGTTGAAGGCAAGGAGGTGCCAAGGGGATGCCAAGGAAATGCCAAGGACACACTAAAGGGACGCTGAGGGGACACCAAGGGGGCTCCAAGGGGATGCCAAGGGCACACCGAGGTGATGCCAAGGAAATACCAAGGGGACTTCAAGGTGATGCCAAGTAGATGTCAAGGAGACACAAAGGGAAAGCCAAGGAGACACCAAGGGGACACCAAGGAGACGCCAAGGGAATGCCAGGGGAAACTGAGGGGACACCAATATGATGCCAAGGGGACACCAAGGGGATGCCAAGGTGATGTCAAGGAAAAACCAAGGAGACTTCAAGGGGACACCAAGTAGATGCCAAGTAGATACCAAGGAGACACCAAGGGGATGCCAAGGGGAAACCAAGGGGTTGCCAAGGGGACATCAATATGATGCCAAGGGGATGCCAAGGGGACTCACTGGAGCCGGCAAGGGGCCACCCGCCTCCTTCTCCTGCAGCTGCTCCACGATGTCAGCCAGGGTGGCTTTGCTGTTGGCAGAGATTTGGGGGGGTCACGTCAGTCCCGGCCACCTGATGGTGACACAAGCATCCCTGTCCCCGTGCTCACCCGCCACCCTTGCCGTCGTGCCGCGGCAGCTCCGGTTCACTGGATTCCTGCCGTTCCAACCGGCGCTCTCGCCGCTCCCGGCGCCGTTCCAGCAGCCCTGTCCTGGCCTCCCCAGGCTCTTCGGTTCTGGGGGGCACCGGTGTCTCACCGGCGGTGGTAGGGGGGGTTGGGTCCCCCACGGGACCCCCATCCCCGGGAGGTCCCTGGACACGGTCAAGCTTGGGCTGTAGGCGCTCAGGACGGAGCTCATGGCGCACATAGGCAACGCGGGGCTCTAGCCGGCGGCTTTCCAGGCGCTCGGACCCCCCCGGCGATGGTGTTGACCCCCCTGGGGGTTCCCCCAAAAATTTGCGGCTCAGGAGCGGTGTTGGTGGCTGCTTGTTCTGCTCTGCTTTCAGTTTCTCGATCTGCAGGGATGGGGTGTGGTCCAGTGGAGATGGAGATGGTGGAGATAATGGAGATGGAGATGATGGAGATGATGGAAATGATGGAGATGGGGATGGGATGGGATGGGGACATGGATGGGGATGAAATGGAGGTGAGGTAGGGATGAAGATGAGGATGAGGATGGAGACAGGGATGGGGATGGGATGGGGATGGAGATGGGGATGGGATGGGAACAAGGATGTGGATGGGAACAGGGATGGAGATGAGGATGGAGATGTGTACAGGAATGGGGATGCTGAGCCGGTGGCTGCAGTGGCCCCCGGGGTGGGGGGACGGGACAGGGGGTGACATCAGCTCCCCCCCAAGGTGCCCATACCGTGGTGAGCCGTCTCAGGGAACTGAACCTCTCCTCCCAAGCAGCGGCTGCCTTCCGGAAAGCCTCGTGCCGCCGGATCAGCTGCTCCACCTCGTCCACGCTGCTGCCCAGCTCTTGGCTCTTGAGCAAAGGCTCCTGGGCCGTCAGCCAAGCGTCGGCCACCACCGCCTCCTGGGCGAACTGGTGCACCTCCAGCACTATGGGACAGACGGACGGGCGGACGGAAGGACGTGCTCGTGGCGGCACCCCCCACAAAGAGCATCCCACCCCCGCGGTGGTGGAGGATCTGACCCCCTCCCCAAATTACCCCCACCACCACCACCTCCACCACCCCCCCCAGGTAGGACTCACTCTGCTGCAGCCATTCCCAGTGCTTGTCCCACTTCTCCATCATCTCCTTCTTCTTCGCAAGCAGCTTCTCCACATGGGCTTTGATCTGCAGGGATGGAGGAGATGGGTTGGGGCCCCCCCAATAGTTGCAGCCACCCCCGCCTGACTGTCCACCCCCCCCCTCCACTGTGGGCACCTCATCGGCTGCAGGGCTCTTGCTGAGGATGAGGTTCTTGCCGAGCTCCAGGCAAGCGGCGATGCTCTTGCCGCGAGCTTCTATCTCGCTCTTGAGCCCTTGGTGGTCGTTCATCAGCAGCTCCACCGAGGAGACGTCCCTGTGAGAGGGGATGGGGGCTGGGAGGGCAGGAGGGGACAGGGATGGGCCCCCCCCCCCCAGGAATGGGACAGGAGACGGGTCCTTGGTTTCATGGATGGGAGAGGACATGGATCCTTTGATGGAACAGGATGTCTTTGGTTTCATGGATGGGATAGGACATGAGTCCTTGGGATGGGTCCTCCAGGTGGGACAGGACATGGGTCCTTGGCCCCATGGGTGGGACAGGACGTGGGTCCTTGGCATCATGGATGGGCCAGGACACGTGTCTTTAGGATGGAACAGGACACGGGTCTTTGGTGACATGGGTCCCTGGATTCAGATAGGACGTTGGTCCTCCAGATAGAACAAGACACAATTCCTTGGCTTCATGGATGGGACAGGACATGGGTCCTTGGCACCACAGATGGGCCAGAATGTGGTTCTTGGAGGCCAGCGCAGGACACAGGACCTCGGCACAGCCCACAGCTCCCGCTACCTGGGCTTCTCTCCAGCGCCGATCTGGCAGAGGACACCATCCATCCAGGCGAGAAGGTCTCTCACGGTGCCGACGAAGCGGATCTTATCAGCGACGCTGGCGACATGGAGCCGGCACTCCTCACACGCCGCCAAGAGCTCCTTCCATGCCCGTAGCACCTCCTGCTCCCTCCCGGCGATGGCTTCGGCATTGTCCCCGGCATAGAGGGTCCTCAACTGTGCCGCACCCTCTTGTAGCTGCCGGACTTGGGTCACCAACACCTCCACATCGTGCTCGAAGGCACCCAATGCCCGTTGCAAGGCTCCGGCCGACGTCCTGCCCTCACGGGCTGCCAGTTCAGGCAGGCGTTGCCTTTTCTCCTCGATTTGCCCCAAAACCTCTTTGCAATCATTGAAGAACTTGTGCAATTCATGGGAAGCTGCCAACATCTGTGCCCTGGTCTCCATCAGCTCCAGAAGATCTGCCCAAGCTTCGTTGACCCCATCCTTCCATTCAGCAATGGTGGCAGCATCAGCATGCCCGTAGTCAATCAATTCGTCCACCATTTGGTTGACGGCGGCAATCCTCTCCTGCCCAACGCTGCCCGTCTCGCTGGCAAACTCCAGGAATTTCTCCTGGAGTAGCTGAGATGGGCAGGGATGGGCAAGGGTGAGGAGTGGGCAGTACCAGGCAGGGATGGGGGCAGGACCCCCAGCATGGTGCACTGCTGGTGCCCAGGACCAGGATGGTGGCAGGACCCCCGGCATGGGGCATTGATGGTGCCCAGGACCCACAGCATGGGGCAGGGACCACAACAAGACCCCCGGCATGGGGCGGGAACAATGCCAGGACCCCAGGCACAGGATGGGGACAACTCCAGGACCTCTGGCATGGGGAAGGGATAATGACAAGACCCCCAGCATGGGGCAGGAACCACAACAAGACTCCTCACCCAGGGGAGGGACTTCACCAGGACCCTCAGCACAGGATGGGGACAACTCCAGGACCCTTGGCACGGGGCACAGACAATGCCAAGACCCTCCTTGGCGCATCCCCCAACTCACTGTGACATGCTCGAAGTCCTGTCCCAGCTCCGGTGAGCCGGCCACCACCTCCTTCTCAGCGATCCAATGCTCCAGCTCGTCCACCTCGCGGTTGAGCTGGTAGAGCCAATATTGCTGCTCCAACTTGGCCTTGCGTTCCTCCACCAGGTCCTTCAGAGACACGTACAGCCGGTCAACCTGCGACTGCCGCCTGCTGACCTGTTCGCTGGGCAAGGGACACAGCGCCCGGTGAACGCCAAGGACCCCGGCATTTTAGGGCGAGGGGGGATTCGTGTTGGGGGCTTGAACCCACCTTTGAGGGTGGCCCAACTCTAGAAGAGCACGGCATTGGCGAGAGAGTTGGGCGATGGTCTCCTCATAGTTCTCCACTGTTTGCTCCGTCAGGAGGTGCTTCTTGAGGAGTTGTAGGGTGCTCTGCTCATCCTTGGATGGAGGGGGGGACATGTTGGGGAGGTGAGATGCTGGGGGTGGGTCTTAAATTTCTTCCTCCCACAAGCCACCCCCATCAGCACCTTCCCCTTCTCCTCGCTCATCAACAGCAGCTCTTGCTCGCCCAACCACGACTCCACCTCGGCCACGTCAAAGTAGTATTGCTCCAGTTGGTAGGTGGCATCCAAGGTTTGCTGCCTGCGCTCTGCCTGCTCCTGCAGCTCCCCCCACATCGTCCCCAAACGCTCCAGGAGACGTCGGACCCCTTCGGCTTCGGGGCTTTTGATGGAGGCAACGGCTGCGGCACGTTCCAGCACCTCGTCCACGCGAGGTCGGTGGACCTGGATCTCCCGGCGGAGGTTCTGGTGGGGATGTGGGTGGAGAGGGGGTGGGGATTGGGGGGGGGGGTCATCAGTGTGTGTCCCCACCCTCCATGGTGTGGGGGCTGACCTGGTTCTTCTTGATGAACTGCTGGACCGTCTGCAGGTTGGTGCCATGGTCCTTCAGCGTGGCCAAGGGCAGGCGGTCCTGCACCCACAGCTGGCGGGGCAGGCAGTGGGATGGACCTCAGCGTCATCCCTGATCCTGATCCTGTCCCCGTCCCCATCCCCATCCCATCCGATCCCAGGGGTTCCTCACCCATCCCATCCCATCCCATCCCATCCCATCCTATCCCATCCCATCCCATCCCATCCCCATCCCAGTTTCTCCCCTGAGTTTGAAGTCCCTCTTGCACAAGCACCCATCCCACATCTCCTTACATTTGGGGTCCCCATTGCACCAGCACCCATCCTACCTCACCCCATCCCTTCCGTTCCCATCCCACCCCACCCCACCCCATCCCAGGGATTCCTCACCCCTCCCACCCCACCCCATCCCCATGTACTCACCACCTCATCTTCCAGCTCATGGCTGACTTGATGAACCTCCTTGGAAGCCAACAGGATTCTCCGACGTTCCTTGAGGGGCTCGATCAGGCGGACGATACGGGTCCCCACTGCGCTTTGCCGCTCCCCCACCGCCTGCCTGCCTGCTGCCTGTGGGGGCAGCGCCGCTGCCTGCACCTGCAGCTCCCCCACCTCCTTGTACCACTCCTCCACCTGCGACTCCATCGTCTGCGGGGGGGGGACGGGACACGGACACACCCCAGGATGGGACACTGGCAATCAGGATGGGAGAAGACAGCCACCCCTGCCAACCTTGCCAGGACCCCCAGTACTGGAGCGGGGTGTTGGTGTCGTGCTGGCTGTGCCAGCTGTGCCAGCTGTGCCAGGGAACCTCTGCCGTGAGTCAGCACCAAGATGAGCTGGTGGTGCTGAGCTCCCATTGCAACTGGGACTGAGCACTGGGGTGCCCCCAACATCCAACGTCCCCCCACAACACCCAACATCCCCACGCAAAGACCTGACATCCCCCCAACACCCAA